TCACATGAAGCAGTGGAAGAATTCAAGAAGTATCTAAGCAAGTGTTTTCACATGAAAGACCTTGGTAAACTCAAATATTTTTTGGGTATAGAAGTGGCTCGCAGCCAGGAGGGGATATTTTTGTCGCAGAGAAAGTATGTACTCGATATTCTAGCTGATGTAGGATTCCTTGGAGGACGTCCAGTTGAGTTCCCTATCGAACAAAATCATCAGCTAGCTAAGTCTACAGCTCAGCTTCTCGCCAATCCACAGAAGTACAGACGACTTGTTGGAAGATTGATCTATTTGTCTGCAACACGACCTGACCTTGCTTATGCTGTTCACACGCTTTCACAGTTCATGCAACGACCAACTCAGGAGCATTGGGAGGCTGGACTTCGTGTCGTCAAGTACTTGAAAGGGTCACCAGGTCAAGGTATCTTACTTAAGTCTGACTGCAATTTTCAACTTACAGCCTGGTCGGACTCAGATTGGGCGGGATGTCCGGTAACAAGAAGATCGCTTAGTGGTTGGTTGGTACAACTAGGAGACTCACCAATCTCTTGGCGATCACGAAAACAAGATGTGGTCTCACGCTCCTCGGCTGAGGCGGAGTACCGAGCGATGGTAGAAGCTTTGTGTGAGTTGAAGTGGATTAAGAATGTTCTTATCACCATGGGGATTAGACATCAAGGACCGATGAACCTCTTTTGTGACAGTCGCTCAGCATTGCATATTGCTGCTAACCCAGTGTTCCACGAACGTACTAAACACGTTGAATTGGATTGTCATTTTATACGCGATGATATACAGAGAGGTGTAGTGAAGACGAAGCATGTATCTACGTTAAACCAGTTGGCCGACATTTTTACAAAAGCGCTTGGAGGGAAGGTTTTTCAATCTTTTCTTTTCAAGTTGGGCATTAGAAATTTACATGCTCCAACTTGAGGAGGGGTATCGAGATAGAGACAGAGTATCCTAGTTGCGGGAATATTTCCGTTATGTTCGGTTGAGAATATATTAGAGATATACTTGTATCTAGGAAGTTAAGATTGCCTTATGTGTATAAAAGGCTTGTAGAGGTTCTCTTGTAAAGTATCACGTGAAATACAAAAGCATTATCAGATCTTTTAGAGAGAGAGAGAGAGAGAGAAGGTCATTATCGTATTTCTGCATCTATTATTGTTGGATCCCACATCATTTTTCCATTCTTCAAATTTCTTGTTTATTTGACTATTTTCTACGCAAATCACTCTTTTATTTAAGATCTACGTGTACCATGAGAGGGTCATCACGTAGACGAATCAGATCACGCTATCAAATAAAATATTAAGGTGGCTATGATATATAAACATATACAGGGAAGACCTTGGGAACTTCAATTAATATGAGCTTCAAAGAATCTAAAGCCCCACACATGTGGAGTAGTAATGCTTTTATATTTTTTTTTTCTTTTTTTTTAAATACAACTTTATTTTTTCTAGTGCCTCGGAAGTCATATGTTTATCCATTTTATATCAGGCTGTATGCAATTGGTCACTCTAATGCAAAAGGAGGGCGAGTGGCGAGCACTAGCACCGGAACTGGATGAATATGCCATATGTCTATCCATTTTTAATCAAGCTATTGCCTTTACAATTAGGCCTTAGTTTGAGAGGACAAATTACTTTGGGAAGATGACCTATTTTCACACCAGAACTATCATATACTAACAAATATATACAATTTTTCAACCTCGACATAATTGCACATAGTTTAAATACAACAACCTATTTTCACACATGATAAAAGTTCGGAACCCATTTCTACACAGATCGAGATTTGGATTGGTTTTAATGGTTTATGATATTAACAGATAGTAAACCAGTTCGTATCAATTGATATTAATTGGTACAACACGGCCGAAACAAAAATCCGACTAGGGTTCGATTTAAACTTGGCCTAAAATCCTTTTAAAAGCCCCCAAATCGATTTCATTCTTTAGAACCCTAAATTTTTAAAACCTAGAGAATAGATTTCGTTTAACAGTGAAAAATCCAGAAAATATGAGTAATAAATCTAGAAATTTTAGTGGAGAAAGAGAGATGTAAAAATTACTTCTCTAAAGCAAAGTAGAGGAGCAACGACGTGGAAGAACTCCTTGTTTTCGTGTGAGAGAAAGGAAGATGATTTGGGGATTTAGGTTTTTAGGATTTTTAATTGGCTCAATATGGTTTATATTTTCTAATTATGTTGTAATTGGGTCGTTTTGAGTTTACTTAGGTTAATCATTGGTTAAGTTTTAAAAATAGAAAACACTAACCAATTTTAAACCGCTATATGTTGATATTAGTTCATCCTTCAAAGTTTATGTGGAAACGGGTTTCAAACTTTTATCATGTGTGAAAATAGATTGTTATACTTAAAATGTGTGCAATTACGTTGAGATTGAAAGATTGTGTGCATTTATTACTACTAGGTGTTTTGTCCGCACATGCGGGCATAATTTTCGTACAATTTATTATTAGTCTATATTTTATTACTTCAAACCAATATATAAGTTATGATTTATGTTTTAAAATTAATTATAAATGACAACACTCACATAACAAAATATTTTTAAAAATAAATATATTTTCTATCTTAATTTTTTTATTTCTATAATAATAAATATATTTTCAAGTTAACAATATAATACATAGGAAGTATCTTATTTTCTCAAAATATAATTTTTAATAGAAATTTGTTTTTATTTTATAATAAATTTTATATGAAATTATTAAAAATTTAACAAATAATCAAAATTATCTAAATCATGGAGAAACTACAAATCAGATAATTCACTTAAATTTTCTAATAGAAAATATATGTTCAAGATAACAATCTAATACATAAGAATTATCTTATTTTTTAAATATAGTATTATTAGTATACATTCGTTTTATTATTTAATAAATTATATATGAAATTATTAAAATATGATAAATAAGAAAATTATAAAACCATGGAGAAGTTGATAAATCAGCATTGCTTTCTTTATATTTAACTATTAATATTTTAACTTAATTTTTAATTTCTATGATTGTTTTTTAAAAAATATATTTTAAAGATAACAATATAATACATAAGAATTATCTTATTTTCTAAAAGTCTAATATTATTAATAGAAATTCGTTTTATTATATGATAAATTATTCATAAAATTATTAAAAATATAACAAATAAGCAAAATTACAAAAATCATGGAGAAGTTACAAATCAATCAGTAAATTCACTTGAATTTTATAATAGAAGAATATATTTTTAAGATAACAATTTAATACAAAATAATTAACTTATTTTCTAAAATATAATATTATTAATATACATTCGTTTTTATTAAATAATAAATTTTATATGAAATTATCTAAATAAAGTAAATAAACAAATTTACCTAAAATCAAGGAGAAGTTGACAACTAAGCAAATTTATTTCTTATATAATAGTATCCTAAAGCTGTCCACGTCAGAAAATTTGTGGGCTCCGCATGTTTAAATTTTAAAAACTTATAACGTTTTTAAAATGACTATGAACAATGAATACACTTTAGCAAAGTGGTATGAGGCATCTAAATAAGTCTGCAAGTATGTGGGTCAAACCACGCAGCTGTTATGTATTTTAGTTTTTTTCGTTTGGATTATTATCATATGGGCTTTTTAGTTTTAATGTTTTTATGTTTTTTTCCTCTGGACTTATTGTTTAAAGCCCAAAATAGTGGAAAAATCCTAAAGTTTGACGATCTCAAACCCAAAAACAATTAAAAATGGATCAAAAAACGAACAACCAAAAAAAAGAAAAAAAAAACGAGTCTCACGCGGCACTATTATGTCCTAATATATATTTTACTATTAGAACATATTTCCTAATATATGTTTTTTTTCCTCTGGACTTATTGTTTAAAGCCCAAAATAGTGGAAAATCCTAAAGTTTGACGAACTCAAACCCAAAAACAATTAAAAATGGATCAAAAACGAACAGCCAAAAAAAAAGAAAAAAACGAGTCTCACGCGGCACTATCATGTCCTAATATATATTTTTACTGTTAGAACATATTTCCTAATATATATTTGCAAAAATTTATGTATGTGAAATAAAATAAAAAAATAGTTTTGTTATTTATAAAATAACTATGTAATTTCTCTTCAATTTTTAATAGTTACTATAATTTCATTTTTATCAGACTCCGACGGATGGATTTCCACAGTCGATGACGCCGTAAAGAAAAATACCACATTATTCATGAATAAAATCCAAACTTACAAAAAAACATATCCAAACCTATCTATTGAAACCCAAACAACAAATATTAGCTTAAATTAAAGTTATTTTCAAAGTGATAAATCGTTTAGTACAAATATAAATACTATAAATAAATATTTATATCAAGTTTTGACATCCGATATAAAAACTATTTCCAACATAAAAAAACAATATAGACATCTATTTTTATACACTAAAAACTATTATAATTTAGTTATTCCTGTAAACCTCATTTCGCATATAAATAACATTTAACACATTATATATACAATATTTTCACTTTGCACTCTTGCTACATTTTTTCCATTTCATCATTATTTGATATTATTAGAATAACCCATTAAACCAACAACCGAAAAAACACAGATCTCGGCTTCGCGCTTGCGCGGGGGTTATGCAGCTAGTATATATAGTAGTTCTGGTGTGGAAATTGGTCTGTCTTCCCAATTACTTTTTCACCGGCTAATATTGGAAAGTACTATTTGGGCCTTGGTTTAACCGGAACTGTTGGGTTGTTTTGTGGCCTATTAGACCATCTGCAACGGTAAGTATGATGAATCCTTAGCACATAATCCTAAGCTAATACTAATATAATAATAATATAAAACCTAAATAAGCTAAGGACTAATCCCTAATTAAGGATCAAAATGACTTGGTCCTTGTTGACGTGGATTGAATCCACCCTTCTCTCTCTCCTCTCCAATTGCAAAACCCACCAATCTCTCCGCTAAATCCACTGCCAGATGATCAAAATGGGACTCCACAACACCAACTACGCTCTCAGCAAGCTTCTCGAGCTCTGCGTTGCATCTCCACACTTCCATGGGCTTCCTTATGCGGTGGTGGCAAATAGATCCGAATCCATGGCGAAACTCAAACCGAATTTCTGGGTTAGAAGCATCCTCCTCTTCTCAATCACGCTTCTTTCAATCCAATTCAACATGACTGATTACAAGAAAGGTAAGTCTTTTGTGTGTGTTTTGACAAGAAAATTAAGTACTTTATGTTTTATGTGTGTTTATTTGTTAACAGTTGTGTATCTGAATGCTGATACAATTGTGGTACAGAACATTGATCTCTGGAGTTTCGCGCTAACTTGAAGCATTATGAGAAGTTGAACTCTGGAGTTATGGTCGTTGAACCTTCTACAGCTTTGTTTGATGATATGGTGAAGCAAGTGAAGACCTTGTCGTCTTATACTGGGGGAGATTAAGAGTTCTTGAACTACACCTTATGAGAAAGCGGTTTTTGAGTCTGTTAGTTACCTCATGTCTGAGGACAGGGATGATAACTTGGCTTTTGAGATGCTCGCCAAGGTTGGATTTGCATATCATCTCTGAAGTTAAGTTTGTTAAAGTTTCTTTTTTTTTTTTAATCTGAACTGTGTGTTTGCACTTTGCAGCTACTAAGAGATTCCCAAAGGATTTGGTCTCTCTGAAGAGAGCTCATATTTTAAGTTTCTACATGGGTCAGCCTAGTCCCTTTCTGGATCTTGTACAGCAGGTACATTAAGCTCTCATAGACTTGTTTTGTCACTGAATGATTCACTGTCTTAAGGCTATTATTACATCTGCTTAATGTTGTAGGTTCTACCTCAGAATCAAGAAGAAAGTAACATACACAGCTTACTAGCGTTCCCATTGTTCATCATGAATGTCGATTTACAAGCTGAACCTTTCACTGTGGAGAAGCCGCCTGCAACTTCTGATTCACAAGCTGAGATAAGAGCAGAGGAGACACGCAAAGCTAGTCTTGCTTACACTGAACCTATCACTTTGCAAAAGCCTGCAACTTCGCAATCACAAGCTGCTAGCACTCTGAGACCTTTTCTTTCAGTAACAAACCATCGCACTTTACAGAAACCTGCAACTTCTCAGTCACAAGCTGAGTTAAGAGCCAATGAGACGCTCAAAGCTACTTGTGTTCAAGCAGTGGTGCCTTCTCTTCCTGTTCTTGAATATTGCACTTTGCAGAAACCTGCAACTTCGCAATCACAAGCTGAGTTAAGAGCCAAGACGCGCAAAGCTACTCTTGCTCAGGCACTGGTGCCTTCTCTTCCTGTACTTGACCATTGCAATTTGAAAAGGTACTTCAGTGTCGATCATTACTTTACTCATGCCATATAAAGTCCCCTTGTAACATTTATTCATCTTCTTTGTGAGTCTTTATGAAACCTTTTTTCGAATCCTGCCAATGACTGATTACACAACAACTTTTTAAAGTTTTTTCTCCAAGCAATATCAAAACCTAAGATTGTAGTATTTGTAAAAAGAAAAAAAAAATTTAAGGACTACTAAATGGAATCCACCATTGGAGTCACTTTTTTTATTAAAATCCTTAACTCTTCAATTAAAACAAAAATAGTAAAATAATGGTTAAGGACTCCTTAATGGAGTCCACCATTGTGGATGCTCTTATATTCCTTAGTATATTATTATTCAATGTGTAAAGGCTAACAAACAATCCAACTCTTTTCTCTCTCTCTCTCTTCCTTCTCCCACACGATTCTTCTCTTCTTCTTCCTCACTTGTTCTGTTCTTTACATTCCCAAACCCTTAAGCATATCACAAGCTTTAACACTATGGTTTCCCCGAAAACCATCAAATCAGAAGAGAAAGAAACCCAAAACCCTAAAAACGTGTACCACATCGGAGGACTCCAAGTGAAATTCCCATATCAGCCGTACGGAACACAGCTAGCTTTCATGAGTCGGGTCATATCTACCCTTGATCGGTCTCAGAGAGATGGTCGCTGCCACGCGCTTCTCGAGTCCCCCACTGGTACTGGCAAAACCCTTTCCTTGCTCTGCTCTGTTCTCGCTTGGCAACAGAGCTATAAATCGCGCTTTCCTAAAGGAAACTTGGCTCGTAGAGATCTTTCCGTTCCTGACACAACACAACAACCCTCAACAGAACCTACCAATGAGGTCGAAGTCGAAGAACCTCCAGCAGTTCCTACCATATTCTATGCTTCGTAAGCATTTTGACATTCTTAAGTTTTTGAAATATATATATATAAAGTTTGTATTTTTTGATTAGGAAAATGTTTCAAAAGACCCTAGACATGAAATGGTTGAGAATTGTTGTTTCTTTTACCTCTTTAATAGAACATATTTTGGGCATTTTGATCTCTGTGTGCTATAATTCTGATAAAAAATATTTAATGTTATGTTAGGGTATTTCTCCTCTTTTTTTTTTGTCTTGTTGATTGATTGTATGATTTTTGTGGCATAGACGAACTCATGCTCAGATCACTCAAGTCATTCGTGAGTATAGGAAAACTGCTTACAGAGTGCCCATGGCTGTATTGGTATGTCAATTTTTATTTTCTTAATTCATAAAATGGTCAGCTGATTGTGTTATCCTTTATCTTGGTTGAGTTAGGGTGCACGTAAACGTTCATGCACCAACTGTCATGTACAGGGGAAAGCCAACTTAGACGAGAAATGGTAAAAATGACATCTCGCTATTCTTTTCAGCATTACATTCTCTATCTAACTAACTAGGCATTCTTTTCTTCTTTTTATTTTGTAGTCGGTCTCTCATAAAAGATAAGAGGAAAATAAAATGTCCCCAGTTCCTGTAAGTTTTATTCTCAACTTCTTTTTTTTTCCCTCTCTTAGCTCCTCAAATCATGTTTATTTTCCTTAATTAACTTACAGAAGAAAAGGTGCTATTGTAGCTCACCCATCACTTAAGAACAATGAAGTTCACGATATTGAAGATCTTGTCAAAATTGGATATAGTGTTGGAGGTTACGTTTTTGTTTTAAACTTCTTTTGGTATTTTTATTTTATTTCTTAACTCTCAAATTTTTAGTCTTCTCTTTTTAGGTTGTCCATACTTTGCGGCCTGGGATATGTTTGAGGTTGCACAAATTGTTTTTTGCCCTTATTCCTATATTGTTGACCAATTAATTCGAGAAAAACTTGGAGAAAAAGTGAGAGGGGCCATTATAATCTTTGACGAAGCACAGTAAGCGTCAAGCACATATATAAGTTGTCACATGTTTTTTCAGCATGCTTGGTGATGTTGAGTTTGTTGTCTACTAAACACTTTTGATTGTGTACAGCAATATGGAAGACATTGCTCGTGAAGCAGGCAGCATTGACTTGGGAGAAGACACTCTTTTCAGTACGTAACTAGTTACTACTCATAATCTAATCAGTGCATTTTATTCACTGATATGTTACTTTACTACTCAATGATGTCATGCAGAATTACAGAGTGAACTGCAACATATTTCTGTAGAGTTGCCAGCGATATATCAACCCGTGTGTGATGTTATAGACGTAAGTCCACCATCACCTGCTGAGATAATATTAATTCCTTTGCTGGATTACTGAGCCATTTTTTATGAATATTTAGGGATTGATAAGCTGGATTGGAAGCAAAAAGGATTCGCTTGCAAAACGTGATCCTGAACACTATTTCTCTAGGTAAGTAAGGGGTTTAGACTGCATTTATATTCGTAGAGCTTAACTTTTGATTTATATGCAATTTTACTCAATTCATACATCTTTTTTTCTATTTATCAGCTGGACTGGAGACAAAGCTTTAAGGGAGCTAGAGAAATCTAAAATCACTCGAGAAGGCTTCTCAAACTTACGGAAATGCTTCCATGACGTAAGTTATTTCTTCTTCTACATGCTTTTTATACGAAGATTCAATGTGATGTAAATGTTGTTGCTTATTCATCAAGGCGATCGAAACATCAGAGAAACAAGATGATCCTCATTTGAGTGGGATATCTGTCTCCACTCTACAAGGTTCTTGTTAGCTTTATTAAGAAACATCATTGATCTAATATTTATTTTTGAGGACGAGAGCTTATTATTTGTACAATTTTTATGCAGAGTTGAAAACTACACTTGGATACTTCTTTACTAGAGATGGAAGTCACACCCTAGATTACGAACTTGGTTTACAACGGTTTTTAAGAAAAGGTACAACTGAATTTTCTGTTTATCCAACTTCTGTAAAAAAAAAACTTACCCGACCGATGTGGGGATCGGATGCAGGAGATTCTTCTGGTTCTAAGTGGACACATACTTTGAGTTTGTGGTGTATGAATCCAGCTGTTGTTTTCAAAGCTATAGTTAATCTTTCTTCATCCATTATTTTAACATCAGGGTAAGCAAGCAAGCAGTACATCTATTTACTTTTTTGATAAGAATCATGTCCCAAGTAATAACTGTTAATTTTGTTACCTTCTCACTCTATAAGGACTTTGTCACCGATGGACTCTTTCTCATCTGAACTTGGAATGCAGTTTGGCACTTGTTTGGAGGCCCCACATGTGGTTGATGCTAATCAGCAGGTCCTTCTCATTAAAGAGCTATTATTATATCCACTAAGCAGCAGCAACACTCTCCAGAATTGAATTTATTATGATTTAACAGCCGGCCTCACTTTTATTTTCAGGTGTGGGCTGCTGGAATCTTCAGCGGTCCTAATAATCAAATTCTAAATGCAAGTTATAAAACAGCTGATGCATATCCATTCCAGGTACGTACTTCTTGGCATTTTTATCCTATAAATGTGTTCAGTCTTTTACTCTGATACCCTACTTTGGTTTTGAAGGATGCTCTAGGGAAATCATTGGAAGAGATTTGCTCTATTGTGCCAGGTGGCTCTCTCATCTTCTTTCCAAGCTATAAGCTAATGGAAAAACTCTGTACGCGTTGGCGTGAAACTGGTCAATGGTCTAGGCTCTGCTTGGAGAAAGACATTTTTATTGGTGAGTAAAAAAAGTATTGTCTTCTGTGATCATCATGTAAAAGAGTGTTTCCTACATATCCCATAGTGATGCAATTTATTTTTTTGTTGTTGAAAAATCGCAAATATCTCTCCGCAGAGCCAAGAGGAGGAACCACGGGGGAATTTGAGAGTGTATTGAAGGGATATTATGACTGTATACGCGGAAAGAAGAGATTGATTGGAAGAAACAGGAGAGCAGGGACTCAGGATGATTCCAAGAAAGGAGGAGGAGCTGCATTTCTTTCAGTATGTAGAGGAAAGGTTTGTGACGATCATGTCATGACTAGTTTCTATATCTTTTACATGAGATCTTGATTATAAATTCTACACTTGTCACAGGTTTCTGAAGGGCTTGATTTCACTGATGACAACGCCAGGGCTGTTGTATCCTTTCAACTGCTATAGAAGCTTTATTATGTTATCCATAAAATATGATTTTTATATATGCTGTTAAAACCTTGATGCTTTGCATTCAGATAATAGTTGGCATTCCATTTCCTAACTTGTAAGACTTCTATTTCCCCCCTTTGAAATATAATCCTTTCTGCTTCGTTCCACAACTTATCATTTTTCTTGGTCCAGGCATGATGTCCTAGTCGAGCTAAAGAGAAGTTATAATGATACATACAAATCATCTAGAAACCTTCTTGGAGGGGGTGAATGGTATTGCCAACAAGCCTATCGTGCTTTAAATCAAGCAGCAGGTATGTCTTCTTTCATCTTCTTTGTTTCCAAAGTCGATTCTTAATCTAACAGACTATTTAATTGTCATGGTAGGGAGATGTATCCGGCATAGATTTGATTATGGTGCCATCATATTTTTGGGTATCTATGAAGATTTTAATATATATTTTTGTGTATTGTCAATTCTCCACTCTTTTTTTTTTTTTAATCTCATTTCATTTCATTGTGTTTGGTTTGTTCAGATGAGAGATACAGACAACAAAGGAACAGAGTGTCTATTTCAAAGTGGCTAAGACAGTCTATCAAACTGTATGATAATTTTGAAGAATCTATGCAAGACTTGAAATCATTTTTCCCCATTGCCAAGGTTTTCAAACCATCTCTCTCTCATTTCGTTTGCTTTAAAACTCTTTATTATTACATAGATCAATAAAAAAAATGTTAAGCGAACTACCTGCAGGAGCATGTTGACAGTAAGATGTTAGGCTACAAAGAAGTCATAGACCTTGAGTGTGTGGTCCAAACAGAGCCTGAGTCATCTGGTGTGATCAATCGTAGTTCAGCAGCCAGTTCATTTCCTGGCTCCAGTGGTTTGACTATAGAAGGAGGGAGGTCACCTTTGAACAAGAGTGTTAATTCACATGCTTTGAAAAGAAAGTTTATCAGCTCTGCAGCCATCATAGACCTTGAGAAAGAAACCAACCATGACATGGTCACAAGAAGAATTGAGTTTGGGTCTGAACTAAGATCAGGAAACCACATGTATGGTTCAAAGAGAGTGCAGATATCTTGTTTGCTCTGTAGAAGCCCTTTAGGACACCCAGATAATGGCTCTTTATATCTCAACTGCTTGGTGACTAGGTCGTCCAAGAAGTATTTACTGTCTCTCCTGAAAGAAACATCAAGCGCTGAGATGCCAAAAAGCGTTTCAGTTATGGTGACAGATTGCTCCTTGGTTGACCAGAGGCTCTGCACAAAAGGTGAGGGGATTTGGTGTGAGGAAGATGGATGTGTTTTTAACACTATCTTCTGCCCTTTCTGCATTGTACCAAACACGTGTCTCGGAGTGCAGATCATGGCTACTGATTCATCAAATGGCCAGTTTCGCAGCAAAGTAATCTTCTATTTTATTGCCCATTATTCATCCCTATTTTTACCATGTGTTTGTTTGATTGACTAATTTTACCTTTTTGCAGATATTATTTTTCGCTGATCATTTAAATGTCATGGATGATGCTGTTGTAATCAAGGACGATGTCGTCGTTCTATAGTTAGTTGCCAAATACAGAGTTTGGTGTAGCTTTGGGATTCCTTTGTGAATTTTGAATCTAACCAAGGCATTGTATTAGTTTAAGAAGTTTGCTTCTGTGTAGCAAACAATAAACAGATGATTGATGTTTAGTACTCCTCTTAGCTTGTGCTTCGGAATTTGGATTAACCGTTCCAAACGGTTGCCATGCTCTAGCTGTAGGCCACTGTGTACAATGTAGCTGCGCGCTCGCAAAGTATTGATGAGCAAACTTTTTTTTTTGATGAGCAAACAAAAACGCTGTTATGTGACAAAAACTTTTTAAGATATCTATGATGGTTGATTCAACTTATTAATTCATATGGTCTGTCAAAATCAGATTGCCTTCTTGCAAGTTACGTCACCGACAATTTTTTTATTTTTTAACATTGGTTAATTATGCATTATAAATTATGAGAAATATAACATAAACGATATTACAGTTTAAGGATGGACGTTCAGATACCCGTTCGGGTTAGATATTTTGGGTTTTTGGGCATTTTGGTATTGGGGTTTAGGACCCTTTCAGGTATTTTTACATATCGGGTCAGGTTCAGATATTTTTAATTCGGGTTCGGTTATTTCGGATCGGGTTCAGATATTTAGATTTTGAAAGAAAAATTTCAAGTTCTTTATTACTTAAGTTTCATGTATTTAAAATTTAACTATTAACTTAACTGTTTTAAATGTTTGATAAGTTAGGCGATTAATTTGAAAATAAATTATTGAAAATAAAAGTCATTACTTTGGTTGTTATTTTCGAATTTTGGATACAAATTTTGTTAAAATATGAAATAAGAAGCTTAATATGCATTTTAAATAAGTAACAAATCAATTTTTTTTTTACAATTATATGTATACTATCTGATCTTAAACTATATAAATATTTTTAATAAAAATAGACAAATAAACTAGGAATAAATAGGTATATATACATATGTTCGCTTATCTTCGGATACCCGTTCGGGTTCGGGTATTACTTGTTCGGGTTCAGATATCCAAATTCTCCTAACTCAATATCCGTTCGGGTATTTTGCTACTTTGGTTCGGATTTCGGTTCGGATATTTCGGGTCGGGTTCGGGTACGAGTTTGGGTATTGGGTAAAGTGTCCACCCCTATTACAGCCGAAAATTCTACATGTCTTGTGCGGATTCACGTGTGACTGCATAATCCTGAGCCGCCCTATGAGATCCATTCCTGACGGTATGCTTTGCGCCATGCTGAAGATCTCTTGTAAGGCTTTTCTCCAATCAGCATAATTCGCCATTGATCACCTTCTACAGGAATTTAAATCCTCTTGATGTAGAAACTGCATATCATGGGATTCGAATCCCAGGCCTGGTGTAAAAGCCTTTAAATCTTAACCACTAGGCTACGATGCTTCCACACGTCACCGAAACCTATATTGTATTCCCTGGGATTGTATTTAATGATTTGTTGTCATAATAAAGTAAACATGTTAATTTGAAAACACTGTACCAGGGCACTTTTGAGTTGATTGCTTCACTCATTTTTCGCATCCTCAGTATCCAAAATATCCTTTTAGTCAACTGAGTTCTTGTCCCCATTCACACCCACTTCCATGTAACTCTTGAGTTCTTTTGCTTCTTAGCTAGCCATGAGGTATCCGGTTTCTTAAGTTGTGAAGGCAAATTGACCGTGTGTTACATTTTCTTGTTTCCCATAAGGAGCTGTAATCTATAACTATATCAAAATTGACTCGCCCTAGATTCCATCTACATTAAGAACAAGATAAGTTGGTTAGTGTGTTAACTAGCCACACACCTATGTTATTTGCATTTCAAGTGTTTGTAGTTGAGATAATTCTTGTATACAGAGGAAATGCCCACCTTGTACAAGGAAAATTGACCACCTTAGAACTTTGGAAGTTGTCTCAAAGTGATAATTAAATGTAACATAAGTTACTTATTGGAAATGTTAAAATGTCAATTGTATTATCTCCTAATTGGAAGGATCTGACACTTGAAGATGATGAAACAAGCATAGAAGACTTGAGGCGTAAGTTAAGGAATCCTATTCTAAATGTGTTTGTGATAATGGAAAGTTATTGTTTTAGGAGTTATCTAAAACAAAAGAGTTTTACTAATAGGATTAGGATTATCTCTTAGCTATATATAAGGATCTATCGAGTATGATGATTCGTGTGAGTTTGTGGAGCTTGAGGTTTTTGAGTGAGTTTTTCTTGAGTTATAAAAGAGAGTTATTCTTATTCTACAATCTTATACGAGCAATCTGTTTATTAGTTTCAATATGTGGCATCAGAGCTAAATAATTGAAACTATGACGGATCTTATGGTTGTTACAACGAAGCTAAAGGAGACATGATCATCATCGATAAAGTGTCTAACGTTGAGTTCAACAAACTACACCGTGTGGGCAATTAAGATGGAGATTCTATTGAAGGTTCATAAAATTTGGAGTATTATCGGAGATGAAAGAGACAAGGACGACGAGAAAAACAACATGGCCATGGCTTTACTTGTTCAATCAATACCCGAATCTCTTGTTTTGCAAGTCGGTGAGTTAGATACTGCAAAGAAGGTATGGGATGCAATAAAAACTAGATACATGGGTGTTGATATAGTCAAAGAAGCACGTCTACAAACGTTGATGGCCGACTTTGATCGCTTGAAGATGAAGGACAACGAAACCATTGATGAGTTCACTGGAAGGATCTCTGAAATTTCTTCAAAATCTGCAGCACTTGAGAAGACATAGAGGAATCAAAACTTGTAAAGAAGTTCCTAAAGTGTCTCCCACGGGAAAAATATATACACATGGTGGCTACACTTGAACAAGTTTTGGACCTTAAGACAACTAGCTTTGAAGACATCAGTGGACGTTTGAAAGCTTATGAGGATTGTGTCAACGAGGAGGAGGAAACATCAGATGATCATAGCAAATTGATGTATGGTAATGCAGAACAGCAACATCAATACACTCATGGTTAGATGCAGAATACATAGGTCGTGGTCATGGAGGACATTATTATAATGAGGAAGAGGCCATGGTTGTTTTGGAGGATCAAGAGACGCAACAAGCATCGCATGCTATCGGTGTGACAAAGTGGGATACTATGCTACAGACTGCCCTGATCGTCTACTTAAGCTTCAAGAAGCCCATGAGATTAAAGAAGAAGATACACATGAAGCCGACGAGTTAATGTTACACGATGTAGTGTTTCTCAATGAGGAAAAGATAAAGCCTAATATCTTTGAAACCAGTCTTGAAAAGAGCAATATATAGTACCTAGACAATGGGGCTATCAATCATATGACATGTGATAGGTCATCTTTTATTACACTCGACAAAAGAATCACGGGAAAGGTTAAATTTGGGGATGATTCTTGCATAGACATAAGAGGCAAAAGTACTATAAGTTTCATGTTCAAAGGTGGAGTGAAGAAGACCAGGGAGAATTTTTACTTCATACCAAATCTCAGAAGCAATATTATAAGTTTGGGACAAGCCACAGAAGCTGGATGCGAGATCAGAGTGAAGGAGGATGTCTTCACATGTATCATCGAGATGGAAAGCTATTGGTGAGAACTAAGGGAGGAGGAAATCCCCTCTATAAAGTACTACTTGATGCTGAGAACACAACATGTCTTCAAGCAAAAACACCTAGTACCTCTTTCCAGTGGCATGCGAGGCTAGGACACATCAACTTTGACAACATAAAAATGATGATCGAGAAGGATCTAGTTTCAGGAATACCAAAAATTGTGGTCGAGAAGAAAACATGTATCTCATGTTTACTTGGTAAGCAACCAATGAAACCTTTCCCTCAAGCGACAACATTCCAAGCAACACAAAAGCTTGAGCTACTACATGGGGATCTATGGGGCTCGACTGGTAAAAACAGGTGTGTCTTTGTGGTAATTGGTGACTATTCTCTCTATATGTGGACAATGCTCTTGAAGAAAAAGAGTAAAGCTTTTGGAAGATTTAAGAAACTTAAGGCATCAGTGGAACAAGAAACCGGTATTGCCATCAAGACTCTGCGAACTGATAGAGGAGGGGAATTTACATCCTTAGAGTTCAACTCTTTCTGTGAAAAAATGGCATCCAAAGGCATTTGACTGCACCATACTCTCTGCAACAAAACGGGGTAGTGAAAGGCGTAATTAAGCAATACTCGAGATGAAAAGAAGTATTCTGAAGCATATGAGAAGCAGTAAGGCACACTACGTATCTTATCAATTGATCTGATTCTAGAAATCTAGCTTCCACGACTCCCTACGAAGTTTTTAAGGGAACTAAACCAAATTTGTCTCATCTCCGTATATTCGGATGCATTGGGTACACAAGAGTAGACTCTCCCCATAAGAAGAAGCTGTATGATGAGAAATCAATTTAGGTTGAAAAAACAAAACGCTGCGTTCTGATAAGGGCGATTTTGGCGAAAAAAGGAGATTACAGTTTCTCGTTTCTCGGTTGCTCGATGGCCGTAGAGGCGACTCCGGTGGTGATTCCGACGGATAATCCACCGACTATTGATCATCCGAAGGGACCTTGGGTCACTGTAGCGAAGGGTAAGCAAGTTTTGAAGAAGTACGATTTCGCGATCTCGGAATCGGAAGGGAAGAAGAAGGTTGAGGTACCATCGGATATCGTTGAGAAGGGAAATCCTCTGTGGGATGACTTTGTCATAGCAAGGTTTCTGGAGACGGAACCTCATGTAGCAAAGGTACACATGATTGTCAATAAGATCTGGGCGTATGGGGAAACAAATCAGAAACTGGATGTGTACGTGATGGATGAGCATACGATGAGGATTCGGATACCAAATGAAAAGATTAGGAGGAAAGTGGTAGGGAGAGGAGTGTGGAATGTTGCGGGAGTTCCGATGGTTGTTTCTTATTGGTCTCCGGTGGAGGATGAATCAAAGGCGGGGCTTACTCCTCTTTGGGTACATGTGACGAATGTTCCTTTGAGCATGTATTCCTGGGAGGGTTTAAGCTTCATCACGAGTGCTACTGGAGTTCCTGATCATTTACACCCGGATACTTTGGCTTGTTCAAACTTGAAGGTTGCTAAAGTTTTTGTTATGGCTGATTTGACTAAAGAACTTCCAGAAAAGATTGATTACGTGATTCAAGGGGTTGACACTACTATCAAATTTGCTTATCCAGGGCTGCCTCCGAAATGTATAAAATGTGGAAGGTGGGGTCATTTTGATACATTTTGCAAGGCAAAGAAAATTGAGGATGATGTTGAGAAAGGTAATTTGGAAGCTAAGGGTGAATCTTCGAAGATGATAGAGGAGCTAGAGAATACTGAAGTTG